GGACACAACTGTGGATTACATAAGGGACACAACTGTGGATTACATAAGGGACACAACTGTGGATTACATAAGGGACACAACTGTGTAGGGCAGGATTACATATAAGGGACACAACTGTGTAGGGCAGGATTACATACATAAGGGACACACAACTGTGTAGGGGACACATTGTGTAGGGACACAACTGTGGATTACATAAGGGACACAACTGTGTAGAGTAGAGCAGGATTACATAAGGGACACAACTGTGGATTACATAAGGGACACAACTGTGTAGGGCAGGATTACATAAGGGCCACAAAACTGTGTAGAGCAGGATTGCATAAGGGACACACTGTGTAGAGCAGGATTACATAAGGGACACAACTGTGTAGAGCAGGATTACATAAGGGACACAACTGTGTAGAGCAGGATTACATAAGGGACACAACTGTGTAGAGCAGGATTACATAAGGGACACAACTGTGTAGAGCAGGATTACATAAGGGACACAACTGTGTAGAGCAGGATTACATAAGGGACACAACTGTGTAGGGCAGGATTACATAAGGGACACAACTGTGTAGAGCAGGATTACATAAGGGACACAACTGTGTAGAGCAGGATTACATAAGGGACACAACTGTGTAGAACAGGATTACATAAGGGACACACACTGTATTGGGCAGCATTACATAAGGGACACAACTGTGTAGGGATTACATAAGGGACAGGGCAGGATTACATATAGGACACAACTGTGTAGAGCAGGATTACATAAGGGACACAACTGTGTAGAGCAGGATTACATAAGGGACACAACTGTGTAGAGCAGGATTACATAAGGGACACAACTGTGTAGAGCAGGATTACATAAGGGACACAACTGTATTTAACAACTGTGTAGAGCAGGATTACATAAGGGACACAAGCCAAACACCCAGCCAGACATCAGGGCTGGTATCCTCAAAATGTTACCAGCCCAAAATGGATTTAACAAGACCAGACAATCCAAAGACAATAATAGATTTTAAGATATGGCGAATTTACTCAGATGTACGGAACATGTTGTCTAAATTTTTCAGCAGACCATCCGTATTAGACCGTCTGTCAGAAATCTAGCCCGTCTCAGGTGGTGGGACGGGCCTTATTTCATACACTAGTGTAGAGAAGGATTACATAACAGCAGTTCTATACACAGGCACAACCCTGTAGAGCAGTACTATATACAAGCACAACCCTGTAGAGCAGTACTATACACAGGCACAACCCTGTAGAGCAGTAGTATATACAGGCACAACCCTGTAGAGCAGTACTATATACAGGCACAACCCTGTAGAGCAGTAGTATATACAGGCACAACCCTGTAGAGCAGTACTATATACAGGCACAACCCTGTAGAGCAGTACTATACACAGGCACAACCCTGTAGAGCAGTAGTATACACAGGCACAACCCTGTAGAGCAGTTCTATACACAGGCACAACCCTGTAGAGCAGTAGTATATACAGGCACAACCCTGTAGAGCAGTACTATATACAGGCATAACCCTGTAGAGCAGTACTATATATGGGCACAACTTTGTAGAGCAGTACTATATACAGGCACAACCCTGTAGAGCAGTACAATATATGGGAACAACCCTGTAGAGCAGTACTATACACAGGCACAACCCTGTAGAGCAGTTCTATATATGGGCACAAACCCTGTAGAGCAGTACTATATATGGGAATAACCCTGTAGAGCAGTACTATATACAGGCACAACCCTGTAGAGCAGTACTATATACAGGCACAACCCTGTAGAGCAGTACTATATACAGGCACAACCCTGTAGAGCAGTACTATATACAGGCACAACCCTGTAGAGCAGGAACAACCCTGTAGAGCAGTACTATACAGGCACAACCCTGTAGAGCAGTACTATATACAACCCTGGGCACAACCCTGTAGAGCAGTACTATATATGGGCACAACCCTGTAGAGCAGTACTATATATGGGCAAATATGGGCACCCTGTAGAGCAGTAGTATATATGGGAATAACCCTGTAGAGCAGTACTATATATACAGGGAATAACCCTGTAGAGCAGTAGTATATATATGGGCACAACCCTGTAGAGCAGTACTTTATATGGGAATAACCCTGTAGAGCAGTACTATATATGGGCACAACCCTGTAGAGCAGTACTATATATATGTAGGCACAACCCTGTAGAGCAGTTTACTATATGGCACAACCCTGTAGAGCAGTACTATATATATGGGCACAGCCCTGTAGAGCAGTACTATATATGTAGAGAGCAGTACTATATATGGGCACAGCCCTGTAGAGCAGTACTATATATGGGCACAACCCTGTAGAGCAGTACTATATATATGTAGAGCAGTACTATATATGGGCACAGCCCTGTAGAGCAGTACTATATGGGCACAACCCTGTAGAGCAGTACTATATATGGGCACAACCCTGTAGAGCAGTACTATATATGGGCACAACCCTGTAGAGCAGTACTATATATGGGAATAACCCTGTAGAGCATTACTATATATGGGAATAACCCTGTAGAGCAGTACTATATATGGGCACAACCCTGTAGAGCAGTACTTTATATGGGCACAGCCCTGTAGAGCAGTACTATATACAGGCACAACCCTGTAGAGCAGTACTTTATATGGGCACAGCCCTGTAGAGCAGTACTATATATGGGCACAGCCCTGTAGAGCAGTACAATATACAGGCACAACCCTGTAGAGCAGTACTTTATATGGGCACAGCCCTGTAGAGCAGTACTATATATGGGCACAGCCCTGTAGAGCAGTACTATATATGGGCACAACCCTGTAGAGCAGTACTTTATATGGGCACAGTACTATATCCTGTAGAGCAGTACTATATATGGGCACAGGCCCCCTGTAGAGCAGTAGTACTAAGTATATATATATGGGCACATATACTGGCACAACCCTGTAGAGCAGTACTATATATGGGCACAGCCCTGTAGAGCAGTACTATATATGGGCACAACCCTGTAGAGCAGTACTATATATGGGCACAGCCCTGTAGAGCAGTACTATATATGGGACATCCAAAGGTGCACCTCATTGCTATAGATATGAGGAATGGTTTGTGTGTGATGACTATAACAAACAAAAAATATCAAATGTAGCAAACACTTCCTTTATTCAGGTCAAAGAAATATATGTTTGTGAACAAACACTGGTCTTCCATCAGATGAGGGAAATTAAACAGTATCAAAATGTCTAATCATGATGTTCAACATTGACACATAGAGGGAACTCCCTACTGAAAGATTGGCACAAAATAAAGTTATCATTCAAAAAAATCTTAAAAAACTGTCACTCTAACGTTTTGAGCTGGAGCCTGAACATAGACGATATGATTGGTCAGTTTTGGTTCAGTACACGGGAAGAACATTGCTGTATTCATCTGTCAGAACCAGAATATTTTTCTGGCAAAATATAATCAAAACATTGCAGATCAGTTCAAATACACAGAAGAGATAAGTGAAAAACATGAATAAGAACATTTAACTTAATATATTCACAGGATTTTCTTCAAAGACTCTTCCACGGCTTGAGATCAGTATCCCCATGAGGCTAAAGAAACCAGGTAGAGTCTCACACTAACAACTTGTCCAATTGGGAAGAAAACATTCAACATGACCAGTTCTTTTAATTGTCTGGCAATGTGGAAAACATCATTACATATTATGACAACATAAATTGCTGAATCCATATTAGGTCTTTGAAAACAATCTGTTCCACACAGATACAAATAGTCCTACTGACATATTTCCATTACTATTTAGTTGTATTTTGCCAAGTTGACTGAGCTGACTGGATAGAGGGATCAAGTGTTGCGCATGTCTGAACAGAAATATTGCACTGTAACACTGCACCAATAAACCTTCAAAATGACATCTATTTATAACCCTGACAGCTTAAGGCCTGTCTGTAAGTAATCTTGATAACCACCCTGTGAAAGAACAAAATATTTTACACACCCCTATTTTCTAGTTGATATAAAATATGATCAATACTGTTCAATCTCTGAAACAATACAAACTTGTTATATAACAATTTTATTTACCACCCACCCAACTTAATGTTTTAAGTGCCAAGAGGTCTTAAAAAGGGTGAATACTGTAAAACAATGATCTTACTTAAGAACTGCATGTGTATCTGGAGGTTAGCTCCTGATCACTTCAAAGGTTTATCAAGAATGGAAGCTACAATCATCTTACCATGTAGAATGCTTTGTGGAAGAAAACCCTGGTCACATTACAGTGCAGAGATAGTAGTTATCATACAGTAAAACCTAATGCTGCTATAGTACACATAGTCATTGACGAATCAGAGTCCATCATCAGTCAGTATAACTGTGTTCAAAAACCTCCTGTGGGGAAATGTGTATACAAATAATAATGACCTGTCCTAAGGGTATCCAAGACTTCACAGAACATTCACAGCTCTCCCTCACCCTACTCATACCACATTTCAGGGAACTAAGAACATTCTTCAGCTCACCCCCAACAACCCAGGCCTACAAAGAACATTCTTCAGATCACCCTCCAACAACCCAGGCCTACAAAGAACATTCTTCAGCTCACCCTCCCACAACCCAGGCCTACAAAGAACATTCTTCAGCTCACCCTCCACAACCCAATCCTACAAAGAACGTTCTTCAGCTCACCCTCCCAAAACCCAAGCCTACAAAGAACATTCTTCAGCTCACCCTCCTACAACCCAGGCCTACAAAGAACATTCTTCAGCTCACCCTCCCACAACCCAGGCCTACAAAGAACATTCTTCAGCTCACCCCCCACAACCCAATCCCACAAAGAACGTTCTTCAGCTCACCCTCCCAAAACCCAAGCCTACAAAGAACATTCTTCAGCTCACCCTCCCACAACCCAGGCCTACAAAAAACGTTCTTCAGCTCACCCTCCCACAACCCAATCCTACAAAGAAAAAGTTCTTCAGCACACCCTCCTACAACCCAGGCCTACAAAGAACATTCTTCAGCTCACCCTCCCACAACCCAGGCCTACAAAGAACATTCTTCAGCTCACCTCCAACAACCCAGGCCTACAAAGAACATTCTTCAGCTCACCCTCCCACAACCCAGGCCTACAAAGAACATTCTTCAGCTCACCTCCAACAACCCAGGCCTACAAAGAACATTCTTCAGCTCACCCTCCCAACCCAACAAAGAACGTTCTTCAGCTCACCCTCCCACAACCCAGGCCTACAAAGAACGTTCTTCAGCTCACCCTCCCACAACCCAGGCCTACAAAGAACATTCTTCAGCTCACCCTCCCACAACCCAAGCCTACAAAGAACGTTCTTCAGCTCACCCTCCCACAACTCAGCACTGCCTGAGAATGTTCTTCAGCTTCATGCCACGACTACCTCATTGTTTGCTGACAAGGCAAATGTATAATAGCATCTAAAATACAGATAATATGTAATTGCGGAAAGCAAGCATGTTATCGGGGTCAATCTCCAGCCCCATACAAGCAAGCTGGTTTTAACCCTCTAAAGACACAAATATATATACCAATAAAATTCTGCCATGGATCTAAGAACAATGCCTATTGTAAATGCAAAAATGAAATTAGCATCTTAATTACCGGGTAATGAATGATAGTTATACGGAATCTATTGTTTGTCAATACAGATGTATATTGATGGATAATGCTTGCTTGTGCAAATGTCTAATTTTGGTGTGCGGATGTGATGTCATGTCCACAATGCTGGTATAATCATCATAATGCATGTGAAGATTCCCTATTAACATATAACCGATGCTGAAGTAAATACAAACACTGAATACACAAAGCATATGGCTCACATTAAACCAAAGCTAATCTGAAGACATTAAATGACAGTGAAACAAATATAATACTTGTATAATGGATAGTTTGGATTAATAGAAGATTGGCCCAGTGGTGGATAGGGAGAGATGACCTGGTGTTCGATTGAGACAAGGAGAGACAGCCAAGTGTTGTAAAGGGCAGTTTGGAGTAAGAGTCTATTTTGAGGTAGGTTTTATGCTGTAGTTTATATGCTGTCATGCTCTTACATATACTGACTAGAAAAGAAGGGTCTACAGCCATTAGTGTGTCAAGTTTAAGAAAACAAGTGGTCCCCACCTAGCTGTGAAAAATATAACCCTGCAATCAGAAAAATAGACATTGATCCATATTTGGAATGATCTCTTGCTTGTGCTTTCGATTAATGTTTGTAAGTTTTTGGGGTTAATCAGCAGTTTAGGAAGACAGTGTTTCATGGGGAAAAAGGAAGTACACTGCACTGAAAACAACCAGGCAACAAAATGAAATATTTTACATGTAATAACACATTGTATAGTATACAGACAACATCAAGCAAAGCCTGTTTCTAACAATTTGAGTATTCATTCTACAGATGAGTCAAAGCCATCACTGTGCTGGCATGAACAAGGGTTACAAGCTTGGCAGACTACAGACAGACACAAACTGACCAAAGGGCATCTCAAGGGTATAAGCTGGTCATGTCAGTCGGGGTCCTGTCAACAAGCTAAGCTAATTACATAGTGTACTCTCTACATTGCACATCTTTTCAATATGGACATTAAATAACATTTCTTAAAAGTAAAATTTACATCAACTTAGAACAACATCAACCAATATTCAACCCAGTACATGTTCCAGCTATGTAATATGTATCAACACACTCGTTGCATCATGGTGAGAATTGAGCTTATCTCCGACAGCAAACTCGTGTCTTTTACAGTCTTATTGGGTTGAATATTGTACGCACAAGACTAATAGCACTAGCAAAGATATCTTTAAAACAAATATGGAATTCAAGGTGCAGGAGTAACAAATAACAAGCTAAAATACTTATAAGAAACCAAACAGACAACTCTAGTACTAGACCGCTGGTATCGGACTGATACTGGATTTGTTTATGACTTACTGGTGCAATATGGCCAGGTATAGTACATTGCTTCCATTTCTACCTTTAACCTGCATAGTGATAACAGTAATGCAGGAATATACATTGTATATGTACAGTAGGACATTTGTTGAGCAAACTGATACAAGGGAGACAACTCATGTGTGCAAGGTTTCAGGAGGTAGGAAACATCAACCAATCTGGTGATGTCAGTATTGACACGGTGAGAGGACAGACAACCATGTGACTTATAACGCTACAACAGTGTTAGACAAGCACAAGCTGTGCACATGTTTTCCCATACTAAAAGGCTGCTGCACCATCACCTGGTGGCATAGGGAAAGGAAACTATCTACTTCTGGCATGCATAGGACCATGAAATGCAGCTGGTACCGAGAAGACATCTTTCTATTGCACATGAAAATAATGATAACACTACATGTCTATTTGCATTGTCAAAGCAGAAAGGACTGTCGTCTACACCCATGTACACATCACACAATATGACACTGTACACACCCAGAAATTTGTCTACCACACACACCTTTACAACTAACACACCACACAATAACATACTGTACGTCCATGTACACATCACACAATATGACACTGTACACACCCCAAAACATGTCTACCACACACACCTTTACAACTAACACACCACACAATAACATACTGTACGTCCATGTACACATCACACAATATGACACTGTACAGACCAACACACCATGACTCCAGTATTACACTTTACACACACCTACACATGTATCTGTAAATCCACAGACGTAACAGTCATCCAGTTGTAGGCTCAAGGAGCATGCTCTCGTACTGCATGGAAAACAAAATGTGTGTCTGAGTATCGAGTTCATTTTGCTGAGATAATCTATAACACACATATGCAAGGTAGTGGAAGCAGTACACATATAGCAACTCACTGGGATCGATCTCACAAGATTCACATTACCCACAAGACTCACGTTACCCACAAGACTCACGTTACCCACAAGACTCACGTTACCCACAAGACTCACGTTACCCACAGAGAAGGTGACATGGGATTTCTTTCAGAAATATCACAGAAACACACTGTATCTTTGGCTATAAGGAAAAACAGACATAGTAGCAAAAACATATGTACAGGCTCAGGATACACCTGATTGTGGGAAGGACCACATAGCTGTGCAATGTTCCACATCCTTCACACCACCCCTGGATGAACACTACTGCAAACTTCCCTTGTTAAAACAGGGTAATGTGGCTCAACAAATCCACAAATTTCACAGCAAGCTCCAGGACTCAGCTAGCAATGGAATTAATTCACATAAGAACAAGTTCAATCAACTTTCAAAACAACCTGGAAACTGCCACAAATGGCAGCAAATGCGCATGTTTTACACAATATTACATGAAGCATGACTTGGAAGGTGGTTATGGAAACATCAGTGACAGAAGATGAATTGTCCATCCCCGGGGAGGTGTGAAGCATGGCGTGTGGAACAACACTGCAGTGTGTAATGGGAATACTGACAGTTGAATATACACACATAGAGCCAAGTAGGTGGGGTGGGCTCAGTTGGTGGGATGGGATACAGGTATATCGGACATTTGTCGGTAAAAAGAATAATACTAAGGTACTCCAAAACAGACAAAGTCTTTGAAAATAAGTGCAAGAAGGAAATGTGTACTTATTTTATAAATCTAAAAAAAGTTCCTGTTTACGGGTCCAAATTTGGTTTAAAAATAAATGTATTTGGTTTCATGCTGATCCGTCTAACAGGAAGAAATCTTGACTTTTAGGTTCACACCTATTAACCTAGTCAAAGGTCGGCCTGAGTATTGCCAGCTGTTGTGCAGAAAAAGCACAGTTACACAACAGGAAGCATTTTAATTTAAACTCATTGCATCTTTGCAGCTACAGTTTGCTGAGTAAGGGTAAGATACTATTTCCAGAGATACAAAGGGGGGATTCAGGCACTCAGTGATGCTATATATAAAGTGCCTCACTTACACTCACAATCAACTGTCAACACCCAACTCAGGAAATCCTGTTCCTCTTTTGATTTCACGGAATAGAAGTCACCATGTAACCACAGCGAGCTTGGTGTCAATGATAACAGCATCCAGAGGGCTAGTGGAATTTCAGGGTTTTATGGGTACTGTATACTTTTCTACAAAGCCCTTTTTGTAAACACAGTCATCTCAGTGCTCCAGCAATCCTGAGTCTACGTTAGTATGATCAGCTTAGTGCTATGACTGCTTTGGGGAACATGGTGCAGGCTAGTATAATCACAAGCTTTTGGCCAAAATGTAAATGTTCCTAAGAAATTAATACTGACACAGGCTACAACTGTTATCGCAGACAAAAGAAAAAACACTGATCTACATGTAACAAAATATTCCTGTAGCAACTGTCACAGCTCCAAAAGCAACAGAATACCTCCCTCAATGGTCCAAATACTACAGATATCTCAGTCAATGGTCCAAATACTACAGATATCTTGGTTGATGGTCCAAATGCTACAGATATCTCAGTCAATGGTCCAAATGCTACAGATGTCTTTGTCAATGGTCCAAAAGCTGTTGATATCTGTCAATAGTCCAATTGCTACAGATATCTCAGTCAATGGTCCAAATGCTACAGATATCTTGGTTGATGGTCCAAAAGCTGTTTATATCTCTGTCAATGGTCCAAATGCTACAGATATCTCTATCAATGGTCCAAATGCTACAGATATCTTGGTCGATGGTCCAAATTCAACAAATATCCCTGTCACACTAGTCCAAATGCTACAGATATCTTGGTTGATGGTCCAAATTCAACAAATATTCCTGTCACACTAGTCCAAATGCTACAGATATCTTGGTCGATGGTCCAAATTCAACAAATATCCCTGTCACACTAGTCCAAATGCTACAGATATCTTGGTCGATGGTCCAAATTCAACAAATATTCCTGTCACACTAGTCCAAATGCTACAGATATCTTGGTTGATGGTCCAAATTCAACAAATATCCCTGTCACACTAGTCCAAATGGTACAACATATCTACTGCTGGTTAAACTGATGGAAAGTCTTGTATCTGCAGTGAACTCCATGGCAAAGATGTCAGACTGGGGATGATGAGGCTATGCTTCTATGTGGTCATATCTTACATTATACTTCAGTTCAATCCTAACATTCAGCTGTTCTCCAGAGAACTAATGCTGCACAACAGAGGTAATGGTTGTGATTATTTATCACACATCAGTTAGAAAACAAGACAAACATTAATATCTTGACCCTTAAATGACCTTTCACCATTAGATCGTCTTTGCAGTAATTTACAAAATATAAGTACTTCATTTTGAAAGAGTAAATACATGTTGATGTGCTGGAACTGTGTTGTGTCTGAATGATGAAAATTGTTCATACATGTATTTTAAAACTGAATCCCTGCTGAAAACATTCTAATGAAACAAATATCTGAAAAAATATTCATATGTTGGTAATTACTTATATCATGGTAAAAGTCTGTCATCTTGCTCAGCATGAGTATTTAAACAGAAGCTGTTCCTGGTTTATAGTGGAACATGATGTATACTACACAAACAGAAAAAACTCAGGCTGAAACTTGTGCTCTGACCCTACCTGCTGTAGACCAGTAGAGGGTCCTGGTGAGGTAACATGAACAACTAAACTCTCTCAAAGGACAGACATATCTGACTTGAGTTGCAAATTGTCTTGATCAAGATACTGCACTGAAGGATGCATAACAACATAAATACCATATTTGCTCATTTAAAACTTTCTTTAAGGTTTAAAAAGTTTATAAAAAGCGAACGACAGAAGACTATTTATCATCATAACCCCAAAAAGTATTCAGCTATTAGTGCTGGCTAGTAAAACAAGAAAATACATCGGTCTGGCCTCATGAAGACTTCCAAGGGTTCCAGCATATCACTATAAAAACATTAATTTTGGCAAACGGATCTGTCACTCAGCAAAACCCATGTGACCTGAGTCATAATTCAACTCACATTATACATATTACACCATATCCCATGCCAACAAGTACAATGACCTGTACACTGGACACAAACACCCTTCTACAGAAAACATCAGTATGGACACAAACACCCTTCTACAGAAAACATCAGTATGGGCACATTGTTATGCATTCGTCCACTGAATACACTGGCACGGACACCCTGGCATGCATCAGCCTATTGCATACACTGGCACGGACACCCTGTCATGCATCAGCCTATTGCATACACTGGCATGGACACCCTGGCATGCATCAGCCTATTGCATACACTGGCACGGACACCCTGTCATGCATCAGCCTATTGCATACACTGGCATGGACACCCTGTCATGCATCAGCCTATTGCATACACTGGCACGGACACCCTGTCATGCATCAGCCTATTGCATACACTGGCACGGACACCCTGTCATGCATCAGCCTATTGCATACACTGGCACGGACACCCTGTCATGCATCAGCCTATTGCATACACTGGCACGGACACCCTGTCATGCATTTGTCTACTGAATACACTGGCACGGACATCCCATCATGCATCAGTCTATTAGAGTGGCTGGCAACGACATCCCATCATGCATCAGTCTATTACAGATGCTGACGACATCCCATCATGCATCAGTCTGTTTGAGATGCCGACGACATCCCATCATGCATCAGTCTATTACAGATGCCGACAACGACATCCCATCATGCATCAGTCTATTGCATACACTGGCCTACTGGCACAGATAACCTATTGCTAATACTGTCAAGTCTATCACACACTAGCTGTGTAAGATTAACCTTGTACGGTCTCGTACACGTAGTTTCCATCCGTCATTGTACAGTAACAAAACATCTAAACGACTGCAAGTATCTCACAGTAACATCAATTAACTACCAGGACTTTGAGCAACATCTAGAAGTTGGATAGGCAACAGACAATGGTATACATGGCAACTCCATTATTTTCTAACCATCATGTTTTCAGGGTGATTTCATTGTCAGTAGTTCATGGTTCTGTTTACACTACATTCACCCCTCACCTGGTTTAGTAAGGATTGTATCTATTAAGTCCAGCAGTGAAGCAAGGTTGTTTATAGCTGAATTCTAAATGGAGCATTACTCTGTGCCTGATCTTTGTGTGAACCCTACTGCCTCATGATGACACAAAGTGGCACATTTTGCATGAGAAATAGTGCCATTTTTGAGATGTTATCTGATTGCTCATCAGTCGGAGCAATCGTTGAATCTCATTAACTAGTGGCAGACATTTGCTTGATTTGTCTGTTAGAAACACCAACTGCTTGATTAATGAATTAAAAATAACAACTCCATTGCAAAACAGACAAAAGTATACACAGGTTAGGAAGGAACATAGTGTGTAGACACCTGTGACATACTGACGATGATGTGGCTGTACCACTTTATCATAAAACCACTGACAATGTCATGCTAGGTTCAGGAAGCTGACATACATGATACTATTGTCATTGCAAACAACTACTAAGCTAACAATGTAACTAGCCTGGGAAACGGTGTATGAGATGATCACAAAAACATAGCCAACACTTCCTGTTGGAAACTAAATTCATCAAACAATTCTGAAAAAAATATATTACAAAATAACAATAAAAATTACAGAGTCCATCTGACTTTTTGAGAGTTGATCGTTTTGGCCGGAAGCAAATGTTGAGCTTGAATGATATGCTGAATAAATTAAAACAATATTTACAAAATGTACACAACACTTATGATGATCTTCGACAGAGTTATCTCCCTTACTCCTCTTTCAAGTTTCCATTTGCGAATTGAGTGGTATATGACGCAGAAATTGTCCGTTTCTCCCGCTTTGAAGGCTGCCATCAATCTGGCAATTATTTCCCTGCGAAGTGTGGCTGTAAACTTTGTGAACAAGCAGAGTGCAGTGGTGACAGCAAAGATGACGTTGTACAGGAAGATGATGTAGAAGTTGCCCAGCCAGTCCATGCTGCCAAAGCTTCCAATCAAGTCAAAGTTAGTGATACCTGAAAACCATTAGTTTCACACATTGTCTTGTTCATCTACCATTTCACATGCAGAAGCAAGTTTAGTTCATTCTGCAATGAATAGTAATAGTATTACAATGTGGCATTCAAGATAAATGTAAAAATAGTCACCCGATTGTTTGTTTGCTGTTCAACTCTGAATTCAGCAATCATCAACTATATACATAAGGTAGAATATAAATATTTTAATCTTGACCAGATAAATATGATACATTGATTAACCAAGTCACAACCAGCACAGAATGCTTGGGACCAACTTTAAGTGTGAAGGTGATACTATATCTTGTCCCACCAGAGATAAAAGTTGTCACCTCCAAATATTGATTCAATATGCATGATCGTTCCCCAGGACCCCTGATACTTACCAAGTGTTTTTGACAAAATGGGAAGAGCTGAGCTGAGAACAAGGAGGACGATACAGTTGGCAATGACCTTCACCATTGGTGTGTCCTTCACCTTAGGTTGCAGTCGACAAAAAAATGGCAAACTGTAAAAACCAACAACTGATGCAGACATTAAGTATCTGAGTCAAGTTAAGGAACAAATTTTCAACTTGAAAAATATGCAGAATGTTTGATCCAAGGTTTTTAGTGAAACATCAGGACTTCCACATATACATGGAAACTGCATGCACTAATGGTAACCCATGAACGTGAAATCAATTGTCATACTGCAGATTCGACTGTAACATTAACATATAATTGTGATATGGCTCGGAGCTACTTGGCAATCATGCAGACTGGAGGTATTTCTCAGTGCATTATTCATTATTGGAGACCAATCATTGGTCTATGTTGAGGAATATACATTTGCATAAATAAACAGAGATATGATAATGTAGAAACTAGTAGGAAGCATTTGATGAATATCACAAAATGTGATGAACATGTTTCAAGGCAAGGATACAAAATAAAAACAATTTCTAAAAAGGCTCCAATCGTTCCAAATGTTGAGAGAGATGCCAATCCAAGCACGGTATCCTGAAATGGAAAAGATTAGGCTGTGAATAAATGGGGTTGTGGTCGACATATCAGAATTACATCATTGCAGTTTGTGAAACCTGTGACTGGCAGTAGGAGCACCACTCCAACTCACATTGGCACCATGACACGCCATCAGCCAGGTTACCATGGTTACAGGAGATGGTCTGGTTATCACCCAGAGCAAACTTTATGACAACCCATCCTCTTGTTCAGTCATAAATCAAGCATGGGGTACATAATGCTATTTACCCCAACCCTTGACAAGGTACATAAATGTCTTGTATGTGAATAATTATCAATTATTATCATAAATAGTTATCTCATCAGAGACAGAAATTAAACTAGAACATCTGCAAGACTGAACGACTTTAAAATCTACCACTACTTCCAATATCTATATTTTTGTTAAAAATCTGCTTTGGGCTTGAGTGTAAATGCTAGTTTGTGTCCCTGCCTACAATATGATATACGATTCAGTACTTCACATGGCCATCATATTTCCTGTGACAACCCACACAATTAATCACAGCCTGTCCCCGGACCCTTAGTTTTGAATGTCAAGGTGAAACTGACAGCCATGATGTGTACACTGGTGTACACCTTTCTTAAAATATGTACCACTGACATGACAGACACACATACAATGTTCATTTCATGACACTATCCCAATCCTACACTTCTTTTGTATTTCAACTTTGTAATGAAAACAATCAGAGGATACTGGAACAATCGAGTCTTACCTTGGCCCCAATAGGTAGTGCTTTGATCCCAACTAACAATAACATTGTGTTGTGTGCAACGATTAAAATACTTAATACCTGAAACAGAAGGAAACAAGTGTAAGACTGGCGAAGGTAAACAATAAAACTTGACATGAAATTACACATTTGTATACCTGTCTAAACTACATGTGATTCATTCATTCTTGAATGTTTTAAAATAGGGTGCCAAGATCCCTAAATACTTTTTTGCTGAAAAATACTCTTTATCAAATTATTCATTTAAAACAATAGTGGTCATTGCAAAAGTTCAACCACAAGGTCTAATATTGTAACTGTATACCACTGATTCTGTTATGATTCAGTAGCTGTTCCTAACAATAATCTAAACAATATTTAGTTGACAGGAATGTATTTGTATGTAATTTAAGCAGTGATGAGGAAGATTCGATATTTTCATGCTTTTGGAGTCATGTATTATCTGAAATTTTTGTGAAAGGCTACAGATTAATCCAACATGGTATGGAACTTTCTGGAAGGTGTTTAGAATAAATAAGTGGCCCAGAGCATGCTTCTCTCATCTCACAATACATTGTGGCCAGTAATTTGCATTGTTTTGTAACCCTATTTAATTATATAATACAATTATTAATTTTATAACATTTCTGTGTTATTTATTGGGTACATACTGAATCCTTTTGTGTATACATTTCTGGGTTAACTTCTAAAATGTAATTTTCTGAGTAAAATTGATATTTTATACTTATCCTGACTCATGCTTATTTGCTTGTCTTCTTCTTCTTTGCGAACACAGTGGAACACTTGTATCTCCCAATTGAAGTTCCCTTCAATGTAAAATCACTAATTAGTACTCACCACGAGTTATCTTTCCCCTGGAACACATGGCCCCAATTGAGCGGGAGCGAGGGCGCCACCTCCCACCATGTGCCTCACTCTCTCCTTTTGTAGCGAGCCCAACACTTGAATTTACAGGGAAATCCAAAGTGTTATGTGGGGAGGACGGGAGGGCTTACCTCATGAGTCAGGATAAGTATAAAATATCAATTTTACTCAGAAAATTACATATTTTTCCTTATCCTGACTCATGCTTATTTGCTTGTAGAATCCGACGGCTATGGAGGTGGGAATATATAATACTTTGGATTTGGATAATTAGTGATTTGAATTGTAATGACTGTAATAACCCTATGGGAACTTCATAAAGGCACTGAACTGATGAATTCCTGCTGCTAACTTATCAGCTGCCATATATGGGTTATTACAATATAACTATTACAATATACTTATTATGATAAAGTATATACAACATTAGTACAAAGCTTAAGACTAGTAGACTTAAGTTGTTAATGTGATAGCATAAACTCCTTGAGTTTATAGTTAATATACTTTTATGAAGTAACCAAAGTACTAAGCTTAAGATATGCATAAACTTAAGCTATATGAGTATAGTACTGTGCTTAAGATATAATTTAACTTAAGCTATATAATAGCAAAAACTCCGTAGAGTTTGTTAGCTAATATATATATAAAATGTGACCATATTACTGAGCTTAAGATATGATGAAACTTAAGCTAAATATAATAGCAAAACTTCTAGAGTTGTTAGCTAATATATTGTATGATATAATAACCATAGTACTGAGCTTAAGATAATAGATTGAACTTAAGCAAAATATATATATAGCATGTAGCTATTTAGTACTGATATCAGATAAGTATAAATCTGTAAGATTGACTTATCTTCTCGAGAACTGTCAACTGTTGGCGAGGACCATGGGACCCGAAATGGTGGATACCTGAGGCGTCCTTGGTGGTAATATCTCTCAGATAGTGGTTGGCAAACACCATATCGGATCTCCAGAAACAACCCTCCATTATGGTATTCAAAGAGCAGTTGCCGTGTAGAGCAAGTGTTGATGCTAGCGCTCTAATTTCATGAGGATTAGATGCTCTTGGAGGGTCGAGTCCTGCAGCCTTGTAGGCACGTAGTATGACAGTTCTGATCCAAATTGAGATAGTAGTGCATTGAGACTTCCGTCTGCGTAGCTGTAGATAGAGGGATAAATAATCTCTTGAATTTTCCTCTCCTCTGTTTGGATCGGTGGAGATATATTTTCAGTGCTCTTACTGGGCATAGTGATAGATCCATCGTATCATGAGGTCCAAGAATGGATGAGAGAGCTGGGACGTGGAATAATCTGTCTGGTTGACCTGGCAATTGGTTCTTAGCTATAAAATCCCAGCGTAGTCCCAGATGTGCGATGTTATGAATATCATCAAAGCGTGTTCTCTAAGTAATCCAAAGCGTGAATCTCCGACATCCTGGCAGCCGTAGCTAACGCTAACAGGAACAAAGTTTTCTGGGTCAGTGATTCAAAGCGATGTAGATTCTAACGGTTCATAAGCCTCACTTGTGAGGTGTTGGAGCACTATATTTAGATCCCAAGCTGGAGCGTGAAACTTCCGCTTGTGATCCTCAATCGGAATGCTTTCGTAGCAAAGCGAGTAACTCTGGGGTCTTTGTTAACTTGGCCCCGTTCTCATAGTTATGACAGAGCTTAATGCTGCAAGATAAGTGGACAAAGTTGAGCCTTTTAGATTCTTAGTTTGTCGTAGATAACATAAGTAGTCCGCCACTTGAGGATGAGTAGCATATCTGGCTGTAAATCCTTTCTTTGCAGCATAATTGACAAAACTGTGCCATTTGTCATCATTATAAGTTCTTGAGTTGAGTTCGCAGTGCAAAGCGTGACTGCTTTTGCGCTCTGGCTGAATAACCTCTCTTATTCAGACATGCCTTGATACAATCCATGCGTGAAGTTGGAATACTTCTGGTTTTCCGTGCACTTGTTTGGTGTCGCGGATGTATCAATAGATTGGCGTTCTGGAAGTTGTAGAATTGGTTGTCCGATTTCTTGAATAAGATTTGGAAACCACGTTCTACAGCTGGCCAGTAGAGTGCGACCAAAATCAGATGGAGGCTCTGCGTTTGACTGATTTTCCGTAAGACTTAATGGGATTAGCGCTGGTGGCGGGAAAGCGTCGCGTTGAGTCCCTCCACGATATGCTTAGTCGTCCGTTGCCCATGCTAGTGGGTCTGGAACTGGCGATACGAAGGTTGTCAGTTGTTTGTTGAATCGAGTGGCGAATAGGTCTACTAGTGGAGATCCTATTTCCATGATTATTTGAGTGAATATCTCTGTGTGGAGCATCCATTCTGTCGGCGACGGTAGGTGTGGCCGAGAGAGAGCGTCTGCTAATACATTCTTTGCTCCTGGAATGTGGCAAGCTCTGACATGTATGTTTAGATTGTCGATTAGATCGAATAATCGAAACATAGGGACAGTAGGGTTCGGTGACCTTGTTGAGCCTTGTTTGTTCACATAAAAGCGCCACTGTCGAATTGTCTGTGTGAATCATCAACTGAAGCGTTCTGTAGTAGGTTGCTCCAGTGACTTATGGCGTTTATGACTGCTTGCATCTCTAGCAGATTTATGTGACATTTGCTCTCTTGATTGCTCCATAGGCCTGGCGCTGTCTTGTAGGCGAGTGGGCTCCCCAACCTTGTAGTGGCGGCGTCTACGTAGAGATGTGTTTCGATTCGGCTCTAATAAGGAGGCGCCCTCATAAAACATTCAATCTCTTGGTCCACCAGAGTAGATGAGGTTTGGCGTGATCTGGTAGACTGAGCGGTAGAGGGTCCTCGAGATGCGCATTGATGAGGACTTGTAGCGGGGCGTAATTGAAGCCTGCCTCTGACTGTCAAGTCTTGGGCTGATGTGAGTAGTCCCAATAGGATCTGCCACTGTCGTAGTGGTAGCGGAGAGAGTAAGGCTTGTGGGATTAACTGTTGGATCTTGATCCATCTGTCCTCGGGACTACTATCACGATTCTGGGCTGTTAGAAATGCGTATACCTAGAAATTGCAGATCTTGCGTTGGTTCTAGGTCCGACTTGAGTAGATTTACTAACCATCCTAGTTGTGTTAGTAACTTGATTATAAAGTTCAGCTGTAGTCTGAGGCGCTGTGGATCTGGATCCACTTGTATCCCGTCGTCTAGGTAAAATCGCTCACGAAGACCTTGGCGATGTAGGTATCGACAATAGGCTTCGTCACTCTTGTGAATACCCAAGGGGCGATGAGATTCGAAGGAAGTACTTTCCATTGGTAGTGTTTCCCGTCTAGGATAAATCTTAGATATTTCCTTGAATTGGGATGAATCGAATGTGTAGATATGCATCTTGCAAATCTATGCTGGCCATGTAATCTTTGGGGACGAATTAAGTGCGAAGTTGCGGTAAGTGTATCATCTGGCAGCTGGCGGTTTGCTTAGATAGTCTTTGTTGAAGATGCTCATGTTGTATATGAGGCGAAACTTTTCCTTGGAATTTTTCTTGGGCACTAGGAAAACTGGGGAGTAGAAACCTGAGTGCGATGTTTAGCTGATCCAGAACTTCTAAGGCCTGTTTGCTTAGCAGAGTAGCTACTGTTTCTCTTAACATAGGTAGTTGTGCCGGTTGAAAGTCGAACCTTGGAGGGATGACTGTTAACGGAGGTGTGGCCTTGAGTTGTATTTGATATCCGTGCTGTAGGATGTTGGATACATAAGGATCTTGTAGTAGTCCCCAGTTTTCCCAGTGCAGCTGAAGGCGTCCACCCACTTGAGAAGGTTGTACTGGAACGGCTGGGGGTGGAAGACTCCAGTCGTTCCGAACCTGAATTTCATCGTCTAAATCCGCGGGAACCTCTGGATGATCTGCCTCTTGCTGATCCTCCTCTGAAATTGCTGTATGGGCGACGAAAAGATTCCCTGGGACCTTTTGCTGTAGCCAATTTCTTGTCCCGTGCTTTCTGTAGTCCAGAGAATTTAGACTTGCCAGAGTATCTCAAGGATGATTGCTTAATGGCGTTAAGCTAAGTTATCCATGGACTTGATCATAAGCACCTCTCTAGAGTCCTTAGACACCTCTTTGGAGACCTTGTCTATGTTACCACCAAATAGTAAGGGCGATGACCATGGGGCAGCGTAGAGTGATTCCGTAAATTGATTATCCCAATTGCAGGAGGCTAGTAGACCCTGACGACGAGCCATGGTAGTAGCTTCAGTAAGCGCTGACAAGTGATCTGTAAGGAACTGATGGTCTCTTTTCTGCATGAGTAGAGCCGAGTAGATCATTCTATCTTCCTCCTCTGTAGAATCTTTGAACTTGGTGATGAGAGTTTCATTGACAGTTCTAGATCTATTCAATCCAAAAAACATTCTCCTAGAAATGGTATCCAACTGGGCTAATTTGCGATCGTCTATTCTGTAATTTCTGGACTTGGCATCACTGATTAACTTAAAGTTGTCATCAATCTCTTGGGCCTTGAAAAAGGAGTCCATATTGTGACCTGCAAATTTCTTGGCGTTGAAAACCGGGAAATGTGTTGATTGAAATTTAAGTAGATTTGGTAAAGGCTGTATCCAGATTAGCTGGAACCGCTGCTATCGGGTCAATAGGAGGTAAGGTGATAGTGTCCATCATCTTCCTTCATCAAATAAGTATGAGCTGAGTTCTGTTCTTAGGCGGGGAAGCAAGTTCTAATCCATTCACCATCCAGTATCTAATTTCTGCATCTGAGAATACGATACCTTCTTCCTCTTCTGGCGTAGGATCACATATAATAGAGTGAGGTGGAGTCCTAGATCTGTAAGAAGATCGGCGAGAAGATTGTGGTGAGCGGACTGGCCAGTGTGGCTAGTATAGGGAGACCTTGGAGGAGACTTCCTCGGCGAGCAGCTGGTGGCCGTGAAGCTCTCGATGAATCCCTTCTAGATCTTCTGGGTGAAGATGACTTGGAGCCACTTAACCTTCCATTGAAGGCCTTCGGAAGGTATCGAGTCAGAGTCGAATCATTATATGGGAGCCTGCTTGCTTGAGCGACCTCTGTGTTCTACAGGGTGTGAGCTCGGTGAAGCACTCCTCCTCCTCATGAAGCCCTTAAACTGGTGAGGCTCTGGATCCTTCGTGGAAGCGACCTGGGGCGTTCTTGCGCAGGCTTCGCTACGGGCTGGGTTGCCCTTCGTGGAAGCGTTTGTGGGCTCTAGGGCCCTCTGCGAAAGTCAAAGCGGGCTCTGGGGCCCTGTATGACTTATTATGGGTTGGGCTCTGGGGCCCGGCTCTCTGAGCCTCTGTAAACCCGTGTCGGTCTTCCATCAACATCATGATTTGGTTAACCAGGTGCGTCTGGGGCGGTCTGCGCTGGCGTTGAGGTGTCCTCTCTGTGATAGTGGCGGGACCCTCAGTTATAATCTCAAGCGTCAGCGTAGGCATCTCTGGTTGCGTGTTGATCTGCGCTGAAGTGGCGGTAGCGATACTGGTAAGCTTCTTATGGCGTACATCTGGAATGATAATCGGAATGTCATCATCATATAAACACAATTCTGAAACAGGTAGAATGTCAGAAGCAAAGTTTTTAGTAGCCTTAGTGGATTTCCCTTTTAATGAAGCTGTAGACCTGGGGGTTGAATGTCGTTGAGACGGCGTGGAAGCTCTTCTAGTCTTAGACTGTGATGATGGAATGTCCTGGGATGCAGGTAAACTTCTTGGATATAGCGGACTGCGTCCCCGCTTATCCCGAAGGTAACTCAGGCGGAACACCAGGCGGTAGAGGTAGATCCGCCAACAGTTGACAGGGTATATCTGACTCTGATCTATTAGCCATGACTGAAGATTGTTTCGAGATCTATCTGCCGCCCGTCTCAAGGCGGAATATAAATATTTATCAAAGGCAGAATTAGACAAATTAATACATAATTTGCAGCGTGAAACAATAGAGCATGGAGTTATGCAACTAGGGCATATTAAATGCGGATCGGCAGCAGAGTAGCGTAATTTACAAACAGTGCAGATTTTCATTAGCGCAAAACTGCTGAGCAAACCACGGCGAACCGTGAATAAAGCAGCAGAAACACGAATAATTATCAATGCATGTTGAATAAGGATACTAGTTACACCTCTATAGATGAATATAAGAGGTACCAAACTAAATATAAATAAAGGATATAGTGTGTAGGGAGACACAGAGCTCTCCGTCCAGCTCACTGGGCGAAGAAGGAGAGTGAGGCACATGGTGGGAGGTGGCCCCTCGTTCAGCTACTTGAGGGAAAGATAACTTCGTGGTGAGTACTAATTAGTGATTTTACATTGAAGGGAACTTCAATTGGGAGATACAAGTGTTCCACTGTGTTCGCAAAAAGAAGAAGAAGACAAGCAAATAAGCATGAGTCAGGATAAGGAAAACATTCAACAGCTACAAGGTAGCAAAAGCCCTACCAAGTGCAATCTGTTATGGGTTATAGCATGGCAGGAAGTACTAACCCTTGGCTGACAAGAAAACAAGACACAGTGCTGACCTGTTGATTGAATCTGTGACCCTCAAGCTGCCTTTATCTTCAGTAATTCTAATGATGTAATGATATGAAGCCACATCACTTTGTAAACAAGAATATAATGTAACAACTGCACTAGTGTCAAGGGGCCGAATCATGTCAATATTTCCATAACTTCCTTGATATAACTACCCATACTGATACAGAGTTACCATATATTAGCCGGATCTAATTATGCCAATTGTTTGAGCTACAGTTTTATATGAATCATATTCTGAGATGTGAGCAGTGAATCCTTGAACTGTGAAATAAAGTCAGCTCTACCATAATGTGAAGTGTAATAAAGAATAGTTTCAGCAGGAACCATTATACTTACAGCATGAGGATGCTTGATATTACTACACACTACGTGCCGTATTTATGAGTAATCTTATGTTTGACTGGAGATGAGCTAAAAATCAAATCTGCAATAAGTGATACTGCGAACTGAAAACCCACACACAGGGCTAACTGATGGGATGCTACACCTTATTGTTTACACCTGACATATATGTTATGAACTTAAAAATACAACACCAAACTCTGTAGATGATCGTCAAGTAGGCCTGCTCAGTGTGTAATTATCCATACCCCCATGCAGAAACAAGTATGTTATATATGTAACTTTTCATATTAATTTGCTTCCATTTAATCACATGACAAGAAACATTCCACAATTGCATTGTGGGGCCAAGTTAACAAATGTACTCATAGAAGATGTTCTGTGTCACTGGTAATTGTGAGTTGAGGCATGTCCTGTTCTGAAAGTTGCAAACTTTTCACCACTAAATTCAGCATGCTGCAGGAAATGCCAGCCATGGAATGGTATGCTTGCCAATTATGTTGCTCTACCCAATACAGTAACTGATGTGAATCAACAGCATGGGGCAGAATAAGGCATCATCACAGGATGAACATGTCAGAGGTAAAGCAACAGCATAACTTAAAGTTTGATCATGTCCGTCTCAACAGACAGTTACAATTCCTTGAGCACCACCACCAGCACTGTACTGCTGTCCTAGGTATGTACATCAGAATATGTGTGGGATAACTCCATGGCATGAGAGATGGTTCAATCATCAAGCCATATTTGATCTTTTAGGTAAGCATCTTAGAATGGTGTATTTATAACAACAATATTTAAACAATTGGCTCTAGATATATGAATACTTACTGTGGTGATTGTTCTGAGATTTGATTTTCCGGAGAAGATTTTCCTCTTCAAGAGTAACTGTGTGAAGTTCGACTTCAATGTTACGTAAAAACTGAAATGAAAGAAGAGACACAAGCATGATAGATGTCTACATAGTCCAGGAAACAATAACAATTGTGCCTTGCAACCTGCTATCACACATGCAAAAACTGGTGGTTGTGATTTGAGCAAGTGATCGAGTCCACATGATAAACGTGTATGCTCATTGTGTGTGCATCCGTATCAGAATTAAATCTTTTTCTCTGAAAGACAAGGCAACACTACTTCCTCCATTCAGACTTGGTACATACCTTAGGTTTGACAATCAGCTGGCCCATTACTGTAAACATCCGAGATATGCCCACAGGAGTACACACTGCCAATGTGGAAAACATGCTTACATTAATCATAGACCTTCACATTATGACATTTAGTTACACATGATGTTCGGCAAGACGGAACACATGCTTACATCAACACAGCCATTCAGTTACACATGATGTTATTCAGTCCAGCAAGAATCAACACATGCTTACATCAACACAGCCATTCAGTTACACATGATGTTATTCAGTCCAGCAAGAATCAACACATGCTTACATCAACACAGCCATTCAGTTACACATGATGTTATTCAGTCCAGCAAGAATCAACACATGCTTACATCAACACAGCCATTCAGTTACACATGATGTTATTCAGTCCAGCAAGAATCAACACATGCTTACATCAACACAGCCATTCAGTTACACATGATGTTATTCAGTCCAGCAAGAATCAACACATGCTTACATCAACACAGTCATTCAGTTACACATGATGTTATTCAGTCCAGCAAGAATCAACACATGCTTACATCAACACAGCCATTCAGTTACACATCATGTTATTCAGTCCAGCAAGAATCAACACATGCTTACATCAACACAGCCATTCAGTTACACATCATGTTATTCAGTCCAGCAAGAATCAACACATGCTTACATCAACACAGCCATTCAGTTACACATGATGTTATTCAGTCCAGCAAGAATCAACACATGCTTACATCAACACAGCCATTCAGTTACACATGATGTTATTCAGTCCAGCAAGAATCAACACATGCTTACATCAACACAGCCATTCAGTTACACATGATGTTATTCAGTCCAGCAAGAATCAACACATGCTTACATCAACACAGCCATTCAGTTACACATCATGTTATTCAGTCCAGCAAGAATCAACACATGCTTACATCAACACAGCCATTCAGTTACACATGATGTTATTCAGTCCAGCAAGAATCAACACATGCTTACATCAACACAGCCATTCAGTTACACATCATGTTATTCAGTCCAGCAGGAATCAACACATGCTTACATCAACACAGCCATTCAGTTACACATCATGTTATTCAGTCCAGCAAGAATCAACACATGCTTACATCAACACAGCCATTCAGTTACACATGATGTTATTCAGTCCAGCAAGAATCAACACATGCTTACATCAACACAGCCATTCAGTTACACATCATGTTATTCAGTCCAGCAAGAATCAACACATGCTTACATCAACACAGCCATTCAGTTACACATCATGTTATTCAGTCCAGCAAGAATCAACACATGCTTACATCAACACAGCCATTCAGTTACACATCATGTTATTCAGTCCAGCAAGAATCAACACATGCTTACATCAACACAGCCATTCAGTTACACATGATGTTATTCAGTCCAGCAAGAATCAACACATGCTTACATCAACACAGCCATTCAGTTACACATCATGTTATTCAGTCCAGCAAGAATCAACACATGCTTACATCAACACAGCCATTCAGTTACACATCATGTTATTCAGTCCAGCAAGAATAAACACATGCTTACATCAACACAGCCATTCAGTTACACATCATGTTATTCAGTCCAGCAAGAATCAACACATGCTTACATCAACACAGCCATTCAGTTACACATGATGTTATTCAGTCCAGCAAGAATCAACACATGCTTACATCAACACAGCCATTCAGTTACACATCATGTTATTCAGTCCAGCAAGAATCAACACATGCTTACATCAACACAGCCATTCAGTTACACATGATGTTATTCAGTCCAGCAAGAATCAACACATGCTTACATCAACACAGCCATTCAGTTACACATGATGTTATTCAGTCCAGCAAGAATCAACACATGCTTACATCAACACAGCCATTCAGTTACACATCATGTTATTCAGTCCAGCAAGAATCAACACATGCTTACATCAACACAGCCATTCAGTTACACATGATGTTATTCAGTCCAGCAAGAATAAACACATGCTTACATCAACACAGCCATTCAGTTACACATGATGTTATTCAGTCCAGCAAGAATCAACACATGCTTACATCAACACAGCCATTCAGTTACACATGATGTTATTCAGTCCAGCAAGAATCAACACATGCTTACATCAACACAGCCATTCAGTTACACATCATGTTATTCAGTCCAGCAAGAATCAACACATGCTTACATCAACACAGCCATTCAGTTACACATCATGTTATTCAGTCCAGCCAGAATCAACACATGCTTACATCAACACAGCCATTCAGTTACACATCATGTTATTCAGTCCAGCAAGAATCAACACATGCTTACATCAACACAGCCATTCAGTTACACATGATGTTATTCAGTCCAGCAAGAATCAACACATGCTTACATCAACACAGCCATTCAGTTACACATCATGTTATTCAGTCCAGCAAGAATCAACACATGCTTACATCAACACAGCCATTCAGTTACACATGATGTTATTCAGTCCAGCAAGAATCAACACATGCTTACATCAACACAGCCATTCAGTTACACATGATGTTATTCAGTCCAGCAAGAATCAACACATGCTTACATCAACACACAGCCATTCAGTTACACATGATGTTATTCAGTCCAGTAAGAATCAACACATCTTTCTTTATTCGCAGAATGTATGTAGGCCATCTGCCCATAATACAAATATTACATATTTGCAGCCATATATGATTGGCGGTGTCTTACAGCATAATAGACAAACAGTGCTATATTTCTGATGACAAAGGTATTGTTGGAGGTCATTAATATATTGTAGTTTGACAAAGAAGGGTATTGTAAAACTTGGCAGGAATATATAGTGTGCGCAAAGAACTATATGCAGTACACACTAAAAGGAAATGATACTCGTTTTCTATATATCCATTGTCGCACATGTTACATAACCTGTGATGTCTTGGTTTATTTGTGTATCTACCTGTCTCAATATTTAATTGATGGGAACCACAGCGAAACTGTGCGAGTGCAATGCGAAATTTACTAACGCTAATAACACTTAGATATGGTTCCATAGATAGATTACACTTGAAAAGAGAATATGAATAAGTTTTAGAACTTGATGATAACGAGTTATGCCATTCTTGATGGGATATATGCTGAGCCCTGATCATAAATTCAGACATGCTTACATCAACACAGCCATTCAGTTACACATCATGTTATTCAGTCCAGCAAGAATCAACACATGCTTACATCAACACAAAGCCATTCAGTTACACATCATGTTATTCAGTCCAGCAAGAATCAACACATGCTTACATCAACACAGCCATTCAGTTACACATCATGTTATTCAGTCCAGCAAGAATCAACACATGCATACATCAACACAGCCATTCAGTTACACATCATGTTATTCAGTCCAGCAAGAATCAACACATGCTTACATCAACAGTCATTCAGTTACGCATGATGTTATGTAGTACTGCAAGTGAGTGTGAGTTTAGTTTTACGCCACCTTTAGCAATATTCCAGCAATATCTCGGCGGGGGACACCAGAAATGGGCTTCACACATTGTACCCATGTGGGGAATCGAACCCGGGTCTTCAGCGTGACGAGCGAACGCTTTAACCACTAGGCTACCCCAACGCACCCTAGTCCAGCAAGAACAAACACATGCTTGCATAGACCTCCACCGCCATATAGCTGGAATATTGCTGAGTGCGGTGTAAAATTAAACTCACTCACTACATAGACCTCCACGTAATAACATTCAGTTACACATGATGTTATATAGTCTGGCAACAGAGAACTCATGCTTACATCAACACACAGTCATTCAGTTACACATGTCATAAAGTCCAACAAGAACAAACACATGCTTACACAGACCTCCACGTAATAACATTCAGTTATACATGATGTTATATAGTCTGTCAAAACAATGAACACATACTTGTATCCAACACACTCAAACAGTTACACATGATGTTGTTTTGCCCACCAATGTATCTCATTACATTGCCACAGACCCAGGAATTAACACTGTATTAAGTTGGAGCTGGAAATACAGGGACAGACCAACCACTTCAAGTTTAGTGCTATGGTTCAGGTTATGTGGATGTAGTGGTGGGCATATCCAGATGAAGAATACCACCACTAGATCTGATTAAAACATCAAGTAACTACAAGAAGACTAAGTCATCAATATCCCCTGTAATGGTAAAATACTCTTCATGAATATGTCAACTAGTTACGACTATGTCAAATGTACAGTTTGAGGTACCTCAGTAATGTTGATACTGGAAATAATGGAAAGGTACTGTTGATTTATGTCATTAGGTTCTTGGATACCCACAAAGTGGCAAGAGTGAACTGAAGTGTTTTTACGTTCGCTCCGGAAAAGAGCACCAACAAGTTTAGTTGAAATCAAAGTTGTTGCCATGGAAACACAAAAAATATTTTATTCAGAAATCCAAAACTACCAAAAGGCAACAGTTCAACACCAGACCTATCAATGTGCAAAGTCTGGTGAGGAAATATTTAAGTTCTGCTCTGAAAGACAAATTTGCACAGATGGCCGCACAGACGGAGTCTAAAATAATACCCCCCGCAAAACACGTTGCCAGGATATAAGGGGGGATAATAACATATATGATCAAAGGTAGTCATGTCTATTGCACATAACTATTATCGCACATGCTCAGTTGCCTTAAGCCTGAAAGGTAGGGATATCAAAGTTAGACTGAGCAAGAAACGACTGCCTGACATCCTGAACTTAGAGTGTATTACTTGCCAGAATAAAAGACATCAGTAGTATGTGACATGCAATCTACTGTTATTATTAATTCCTAATACTAAACCCTTTTTATCACCCAGGACTGGATATGTAATTTTTTGGTGCCCTTTCTCAATTTGTATGCATATGTGGCGCAATATTTTGTCTGGTAAAACCCTGAAATATCAAATCCCGCGTTATTAGCATATCTAACATCTGGCTTGAATCAACCCAGGGATAACAGACACTATCGCCGACACTTGACCTGTTGTCAGTATTCCTTCTTTCACCTACAGAACTTTTTTAATATCTCCTTGAAAAACTTCTCCTTTGATTAAAGTTAAATTACCCCACTATTTATAAGCCATTACAAAATTACAATGTATAGTTACTTTTCTGCTACAGGTAAGTACTGTATATATGCAACACGCAACATATTTGTACAGCGCATATGTTCGCGCAGTTATTCATACCGTGCATAAAGAGCAGTATGATGTACAGCTTGCCATGGCAATCATGCCAAGCACCTGGGTGTGGATACAGATGTTATCTCCGGTGTGGAGGGAGTGACTTGGGTCATGACAGATAACACTTCTTCATCATAAAGCAGAGTTACAGTTACATGACCGTGTTGTGAACTGAACTTGACATGAACATGTACAGCCTGACATAATGTCAACGCAATGATATTTACTAGATCCAGTATATCAATGTATAAGCCAGGCCATAACGCTTGGTCATCAGGCACATTGCAAGCAAATTTTTTCGTGTAGCGGTAAGTCACATAAGTTGCAAAGCTTGCCCTCAATTTTTAGCAATAATCATGTGTAAGCCTGGGCTTTTTTTTTGATAATGGTAGCTACGCCCCTTGTCATCTCCTACTAACATTTGAAAACTAGTCCTGAGCATGTGGCATTCAGGTTTAGTTTTTGTTTGACAAAACTGTCCAAATCTGAGAGACTTTCATATTCCCTGTACAGAAAAATTATGCTTCCAAGTTGGGTATGTTTGCTGACTTTGAGGTTTGGGAGAATCAAGACAACCAGCTATTTGTGCAAGTTCATACCTAACAGGTCTAGTAACATACAGGTTTCTGAGGCAAACACTCCTTCCACATTGCAAGGCATTTTTTACTATCACTACATTATCATATCAAGACCTGGTCAGTGATAGTTGCTATCAGGACAAGATACACTATTTAGTCACTGCCCAGATTAGATGGTCCAGAACTGGTGTACTGGAGATGCAAACACACAGACTAATGTAAACAATGTTGACAGGACCACCGAGGAATGGGATCAAGTGGTGACAACAACGGCTCGGCATGGACAGTGGATCATTCAGTGATGACCACCCTGGGGTGGGTGTAGGGTGGAGTGTGTGTAGGGTGGGTGTAGGGAGGGTGTAGGGAGGGTGTAGGGTGGATGTAGGGTGGGTGGGGTGGGTGTGTGGGTGTAGTGTGGGTATAGGGAGGGTGTAGGGTGGATGTAGGGTGGAGGTGTAGGGTGAGCGTGGGTGTAGGGTGGGTATAGGGGAGGGTGTAGGGAGGGTGTAGGGTGGATGTAGGGTGGGTGTAGGGTGAGCGTGGGTGTAGGGTGGGTGTAGGGAGGGTGTAGGGAGTGTAGGGTGGGGCAGGGTGGATGTAGAAGTGTAGGTGTGGGTGGCGTGGATAGGGTGGGTGTAGGGTGGCCGGGGTGTAGGGTGGGTGGAGGTGTAGGGTGAGGGATGTTGGTGGGTGTAGGAGGTGTAGGGTGGATGTAGGTTGGAGTATTAGGGTGGGTGTAGGGAGGGTGTAGGGTGGGTGTAGGGTGGGTGTAGGGTGAGTGTAGTGTAGGGTGAAGTGTAGGGTGGAAGGTGTGGGTGTAGGGTGGGTGTAGGGTGGTGTAGGGTGTATGGGTGGGTGTAGGTGTGAGTGTAGGGTGGGTTTGAGTGTAGGGTGGAGTGTGGGTGTGGGTGTGTAGGTAGGGTGGGTGTAGGGTGGGTGTGTTGGTGAGTGTACTCACGTAGAAGCAGGATGAGAACTCCGATGAAAGAGATGCAGGAGTAGAGGTATGGTAGGTGGATGTGCCACACATCTGAAACAATCATCGCAGGCCATGAAATCTCTACATTAAGAAATTTACACACATTATTTCGTTAATCAATTCTATAAAAACATGCATGAAACTTTATTAGTCAATAATATTTTGTTGAAAGTAAACGATATGAGTGAGTGAGTTTAGGTTTACGCTGCTTTTAGCAATATTCCAGCAATATCACGGTGGGGACACCAGAAATGGGCTTGACACATTGTACCCATGTGGGGAATCGACCACAGGTCTTTGGCATGACAAGCTAACGCTTTAACCACTAGGCTACCCCATCGCCCAAGTAAACTATGTAAATTGCACTTACCAAATAATGTTTGCTTGCTGTGTTCATCACCATTGATGAGAGCATTGGCGACCCAAGCAAGCCCTAACACCATGATGGCAAGCAGACACAGCACAGCTAGTGCCTCCTTCACACGGCCCATTATACCCTGTAACAATATTATATATACTCCTTATAGCCTACAACAACGTGGTGTGCATACTCTTAACACCCTGAAACAACATGGTATATATGTTCATTATACCCTATAACATTGTACAAATACTCTTAAAAAACAAGGTTCATACACTCATTATCCCCTGCATTGTATATATTTTAGCACCAGCGCGCATTAGAAATCAATATTATACCCTGCATACAGTGCATCAACAAGGTACAATGTCACACACTCTTCCTTCCCTGAAACGACATGGTACATTATAAGTTGTTCACTGGTCATGAGGGGGGCATGGGTTGATGTTCCCTCGATGTTTGTTTATGTTCCCTGAGCCCGGCGGGGTGGGGGAACATAAACAAACATCGAGGGTACATCAACCCATGGGCCCTGAGGGACCAGTGAAAAACGTATTTATCTTACCGAACACCTTAATGTTAATTTTGAATTGTTTGAAGCACGGGTACAAATCTTTTTGTAGCCATCGCTAGATTTTGCTGACAAGAAAAACAGATTTAGAGTTATCTCCCTTCCATCGATTTGCATTCGCAAAACATTGGTAATTTCCATACATCATATGTGATTCAATGTTATTCGAGATAAAGAATTACTACCACGAAGTACCAAATGAGTCGCCATTGACAGCGGGTACATTGAAATGTTACTGGCTTGTAAGCGGGGTACATTGAAAATAATAGAAGAGCGCTCAGCCAATCAGAAAGCGACATTTATGTGTGAGGTAAGATAAATACTGTTCATAACCTGAAATGACATGGTACATATACACTTTAGTCCCCGTGACATAGTACATGTGTCCTTTACATCCTGGAATAAACAGTCTCTGTAGGCTTTATACACCACAATACTGTATGGATGAACATACTATAACAACATACACATAACCCAGTATCCCTTCAACAACAGGATAGATATCAAGCCGTATACTTTCCAACAGCACTGCACAAAAGCTGTTTTATCATACAACACATCATCATTGATTATGAATCCAGTGAAACTGTCCTAATAACAAATTTCCTGATGTAACAATCAATGTTACTCAACATCCTCTGTGTAGATATGTAAAGGGTTGACTACAGAGTTGACTGTCCGCCATGTTACAGGCCAGAAAGACCTGTCACATATCAAATTTATACAACATGGAGTGGGTCATGTGGTCACTTTATCTGGATACATTATTCCTCAATGTTCTGCTGAGAGCAAGGAACACCTGGACATACCCTCTTGGATCCTGAGAACCCCTCGGCCTCAGTGAAGAAGTATGCAAAGGGCATGAGGATGAAGAGCGCCAAGTTGGAAAATCCAAACACATGATTCCATAGACCTGCAAAAGAAACATTTCTGCAGTTAAAATGATGACGATTAAGAACACATTAAACACTCCAAACCCTGTTCTTTGGGGACCCGTGAAAATCCAGGTTAGAATTTGTCTTCAGCAACCCAAGCTTGTCGTAAGAGGCGACTAACAGGATTGGGTGGTCAAGCTCGCTGACTTGGTTGACACATGTCATCGTGATCCCAACGGTGTAGATTGATGCTCTTGATTTGATCACTGGATTGTCTGGCCCAGACTTGGTTATTTACAGACTGCTGCCATATAGCTGGAATATTGCTGATTGAGGCGTTAAACAAAAAAACCCCAGTTCTTTGGGTAGTGGAAAACAATTCCACTGACATTGAGGGCTGAACAGAGTTACCTACCCAGAAATATAGTAACTTTCTCTGACCACGAGAGATGTTGCCACTTGACATTGTAGCCTTTGAGACAGAGGTATAGCAGCTTGTTTCTGATGACAAAACAGAGTTACCTACCTTGAACCAGAGAGGCATTTAGCCAATTGACATTGTAACTCTTGAAGAAAAAACAGAGGAACCAGAGAGGCGTTTAGCCACTTGACATTGTAACTCTTGGAGTAGAGGTGGAGCACCTCATTAATGACAAAACAGAGTTACCTACCTTGAAACAGAGAGGCGTTTAGCCATTTGACATAGTAGCTCTTGGAGTAGAAGTGGAGGAGCTTGTTACTGATGACAAAACAGAGTTACCTACCTTGAACCAGAGATGCATTTAGCCATTTGACATAGTAGCTCTTGGGGTAGAGGTGGAGCACCTCATTACTGATGATAGAGACTGGTAGAAGAAGCACAGCGCCGGCTGACACAGAAAGTGTAAAGGTACACAACCACAACCTGCAAGACAAATTGCTCATCAGCAACATTCCTATCACAACAGTTTGGAGTGGTGAATATAGTCCAGCTCCATCTGCCACACTGATTTTCAGTAATATAAATGACAAATTCTGATGCATTAAATTTTGCACAGAACAGAGGTTTTAAATGAAAACTGGTGCTAGAAGTAATGATTATAGTTACATTATATGCCTAAAAACATCAACAACATATCATAAACTGATTTTTGTGGCAACAGTAACCATGGTAACATAATAGAGATGCTTACGCTATCCGGTACACCAGTGCATCTTCATCACCTGGAAAACAAACCAATTAACATTGTGTTATGTAATTCAGATGCTGGGAGATACTAATAACTTGTTGGATTTGAAAGTTAAGGGAGACCACAACTAAGCATACTGACATCCAAATAATATACAGCTATCTTCAATATTTACATGTAAAATCATTTGCCCAACTTTAAATAAAATCAATGCATGTTAAATTTCATCAGGAATTCACGATCAACGTGATCAAGTGATAAAAAGGAAAAATGTATGAGGCTGCATATTATCTATTTTGGTAAATTAAATATACGATGACTAAGTGTTTTGTGCATGTTGTGTGGAGATGAAGAAGAGCCCTGAAGGAACTCTGGCTACTGACACATTAACGTTGCACAGTCAACAGATACAGTAGGGAATACTTGAGTTCTGCATGCTCTGAGTGACAGCATAACGACTGAGATGTAAATTGATACCAAGGTGAACATACCTGCATACATGTCTTCAGAGTCTGCTCGCTTGCGGATCTGGCAGATGGAGGCGTAAGAGCTGACATAGAGGAGGATGAACAGCAGCAGCCAGATCTGCAGCACAAGGGACAGACATGTGACACCAACTCTACATTCATAGACGGACACATGACATCAGCTCTGTATCGCAATACCAATGACATGTGACATCAATCCTAAATCACAGTACAACAGACATGTGACATCAATCCCAAATCACAGTACAACAGACATGTGACATCAATCCCAAATCACAGTACAACAGACATGTGGCATCAATCCCAAATCACAGTACAACAGACATGTGACATCAATCCCAAATCACAGTACAACAGACATGTGGCATCAATCCCAAATCACAGTACAACAGACATGTGACATCAATCCCAAATCACAGTACAACAGACATGTGACATCAATTCTCTATCACAGTACAACAGACATGTGACATCAATCCCAAATCACAGTACAACAGACATGTGACATCAATCCCAAATCACAGTACAACAGACATGTGACATCAATCCCAAATCACAGTACAACAGACTTGTGGCATCAATCCCAAATCACAGTACAACAGACATGTGACATCAATCCCAAATCACAGTACAACAGACATGTGACATCAATCCCAAATCACAGTACAACAGACATGTGGCATCAACTCTCTATCACAGTACAACAGACATGTGACATCAATCCCAAATCACTGTACAACAGACATGTGGCATCAACTCTCTATCACAGTACATCAATCCCAACAGACATGTGACATCAATCCCAAATCACAGTACAACAGACATGTGGCATCAATCCCAAATCACAGTACAACAGACATGTGGCATCAACTCCCAAATCACAGTACAACAGACATGTGGCATCAATCCCAAATCACAGTGGCATCAACAGACATGTGACATCAATCCCAAATCACAGTACAACAGACATGTGGCATCAATCCTAAATCACAGTACAACAGACATGTGACATCAATCCCAAATCACAAATCACAGTACAACAGACATGTGACATCAATCCCAAATCACAGTACAACAGACATGTGACATGCATCAATCCCAAATCACAGTACAACAGACATGTGACATCAATCCCAAATCACAGTACAACAGACATGTGGCATCAATCCCAAATCACAGTACAACAGACATGTGGCATCAACTCTCTATCACAGTACAACAGACATGTGACATCAATCCCAAATCACTGTACAACAGACATGTGGCATCAACTCTCTATCACAGTATAACAGACATGTGACATCAATCCCAAATCACAGTACAACAGACATGTGACATCAACTCTCTATCACAGTACAATGGACAGACATGTGATATTACCCCCCTTTTGCAACATGATGGACAGACACAAGAAATCAACTCTGCAATGTAGTACACTGGGCAGATAAATGACATTAAATCTACATCACAGTACAATGGCCAGACATGTGACATCATCTCTACACTGCAGTACAACGGAAAGACATATATATGATATCAACACTGTATCTCAGCACCATGAACAATGATGCATAGCTGCGAAGTTAACTTCAGCCAGTCAAGTTCACATCAAATGTGCATTTAAAAATACCCATAATAGTCTTATTGCTTCTATTTTGTGGCTGAATCTATGCTAATTTTGGTGGTAATAAAATGGTCTGACTATGTGTGATTATGTTTCTGAATCCAGTGAGCCCCTGGTCAACAGATCATGTACTTGCACACCATGTACCTGATATAATAATAATTTCTCAAGAATGCAACCAATTTATCACCTTTAAAACTGTTGTATCTCATCATGTGGAAACCATACTAGTTCCACTTAGAACTAAACAAACACATTTAACACATGGCAAACAAAAACATTTGAGACAAAACTAACAGAAATCCCATGTGTCCCCATCCTGGTTATAGTTGGTTGTTGTAAGCTTTGTCACTAACTTCAGGAGTAAATACTACAGCTCCTATCTAGTGCAGGTGCTGTGTTTGAACAACAAATCTGACGCAGTAATGGACTTATTCAATTGGACAGTAAATATGAAGTTGCAAACAGAGTTGCCAATAACTGATTGGGTAGCCTTGATATTTATTGATTCAGTATGTATTGAACATGCCTGATCTCATTAATTTCCATTGACGCAGCCTAAACCATCAAATACCAATATGAGATCAGAGCCTTTGTTTACACAATATACAAATACAGAGCAAAAAAGATTTCACAGTTTTTGGTTTCTGTAATGAAACATCAGGGAAGGGTTTTATGTCTGATCACAAATCTCCTTTAACACATGGTAGAAAAGTATCTGTATGGTTACCACACTCAAAACAGTCTGCACCAAACGCTTTTCAGTTTACTTGCCAAATTAAATCTGACCTTGGCATAATATTCTGGAGTTAATAAGACTAACATATGGATTGTTAATAGATTGCTTACTATTAAGGACTAAAACATACAGAGGATGAGCTTCAGACTTCTGGGGAGGGCTGCAGACTGCCAGTTTATAAAGCTTAGAAATTAGGTAGAAAGGTGTAAATATACTACCGTCATGACCACTTTAAACATGTTGATAAAAGGTATTGTGACACTGCCATCATGACCACAGTCAATACGTAAAGCAGCAGTAACCATGGCAACATGACATGCTTTCACCACAAGACAAGTTAATAACAAAAACAGGCACCAAAGTAAACATAAAAACATAATTCTGAATAGCCAATCCCTTTCTGAAAACATGAGAAGTCACAAAAGTTTGAGATATTCTTCATTCATATATTTAACTATTTCCAAGAGAAAGGAGATAAAGTTTTCGGACAACTTCATTATACTGTAATTGCAATGTTTTGGCATTGATCCTTATATTGTTGGCTAGCCATTTCCAAGAGACCCAGCTTAACCCCTTGAATGCAGAGTTATTTTTTTCTGATGTTCAATTAATTAATGGATCTGAAAAGTGAATGCTGTGCGACAAGTGTGCTCATGGGGCCCTGGATCTTCCTCTTGCTATAGCATGTATAAACAGGCACAAAGATGTTGAATATTAATCTTCCTACATCACCTACATTTAACTGATAACATTAAACCAATTTGAAACAAAATACCCCTTGCACCTGCTGTGAAAGGTCATATGCGTCATGACTGACACAATATTGAGTTTTTCAGCCTGATTTCTCTTCAGAAATTTTCTTGGCTCATAAAGCACATACTTTCATTGTCAGACAGAATTGTGTGTTCCAGTAGTTTCACCAACAAAATATCACCCTCTTTTTGACATTGTAATATATTAAATAGATGTGTGTGCTTATGTAGATAATGGTATATGTTCAAAATGAAAGCCATTATGGACAAAACCAGATTTTCTGCATTGATGTAAAAAAACAATGGGGACATACATTGATAAAGTAAATGGGGTGGAACTCATCCATACTTAAGACTAGTTCGATGAAACAACTCACACAGTGAAACTTTGATAAAGACAACATATTAACTATGATGTGTGCAAGTGTTGTATGTGCAGAACGGACTTGCCGCTTCCTGCTCTCATCAGCTGACAGCTGAGGGTATAGCCAGGATATAGTTTCTCCATAATATCTACCTGCCTTCATGTGCTTGCCATGTGGAATCTACATAAACATCTTCAGGAGGTTTAGTAGTTAGGAAACAACTAATGAAAATATTTACATTCCATACATGCTAAATACAGAGGAAAGTATTCCCTGCCCACCATTACTGCCTTGACAGTGTGTCAGTCTTAATGTCAAGAGGAAATACAGAGGGGAAAACTAATGACAATCATCAACATGATCAAGTGCTGACACATCAACCCGGGTCTTGGCAGAGTGTCATGAAGAAATACTGACTGATTTTGAGATGAGCTTCAGAAATAGGCTAAAGCTTCAACTGATTCAAGCCCAACTTTACTTGTATCTATGGTAAAATGGTAAAATGATATTGACAGGCTTGACGTATTTTCTTATTAGTGCACACTCCCAAATTCAGAGCAATATCCCCTAGTTCCTTATCATGCTTTTTGTCCTGTTGATTTTCCTGCTTGTCAGTGTTTGACAAAAGGAAGTACATATTGACGGACTGCTTCCTTCCTTTCCTGCCCAACAGGAGCAGACTACTAAGTTCACTTGGGCCTAGATTTTCGAAGCTCTCTTAGCGCTAAGATAGTTGTAAGTTAATGTTAATGTATGGCACTTACGACTATCTTAGAGCTAAGAGAGCTTCGAAAATCTAGGCCCTGACTCCTAAAATACTAGTACCATGCTAAAGTACAGTGGTTACTAAGCAGACGGGGAGTCTTGTTAATTTGTTTACTTGAGCGCCCCACCCAGCACATATCTCCTGTGTCAGTGCACCCCACACAACTCCTTTTCTTGCACTGTGAGGAACTGCTGGAGTGTATTCACTTCAAGGCCGTGTTTACATCACTCACACTGCTGACTCAATGAATGGGGCTCTACACAAACAACACACACAAGCAGCCTGGTAATGATAACTGGAGTATGTACACCTGGGACAAAACACTGTGTTTCTATATGAGCTTGGCTTCATGACCCACTAATCCAAATCACAGTTGACAGTCACCAGTCATAGCTATAACAGCCACTCAATCCCTGGATTTAGTAGACTCGGATGGAATATTGCAGCACTATGCTTCGTATCTGCATCATATTGTGATACGTATTGTATGGCCTTGTTGTAATGTTTCAACCCAAGGCCACAATATCAGGTTTTCCTGACATGCACTGATATAACTAAGGGACCGTTCATAATTTATGGCTAGGGGTGAGGGTGGGGTGGGGTGGTGGTGGTGGTGGTGGGGATTGGGTGTATGTGATGATGATTTTAGGGGGTCACCCATTTTGTTCTGGGAAACTATGGGGGCAGCAATTTTGCACATAAAAATATGTTTAAAATTATACTTAGAAATTATGGGAAGGGAGGGGGGGTTCATTGATTTTGTACATGACATGCAGGGGGGTTCACTTATTTTGTACATAAGTTTTTTTTGGGGGGGGGGAGCATTCACATTGTACATGCTTTTCCATAAA